TGACACTGGAATAACATGATGCAGCCATACCATTGACAATTAATGTACCTTATTTAAAGGAAATAAATAACAATTTTTCATTTTATTTTTAAAAGAAAAAAATAAAATAAATTACCATGACTAGTCATGGGTGTAAAATAACCAACTTTATATTCTTCAGTAATATTTCGAACAGTAACTGGTTGAAGTTGACCATGATGATGAATAAACACAATATCATGTGCTTTGATTTTATTAGCTGGTAGAAAACGATCATTATGATTAACAGCAATAAAATGATTTCCTGTTAAACTTAAACGATGGCCAGTCGTAGTTTCAATTGAATAAAATAAAGCTAAACAATGAAATAAAATAAATATATTATTGAAATTAAAACAAACAAACAAAAAAAGAAAGAAAGAAAGATTTTTTTTACCAGGTCGATTTGGTTGACTATCAAGCATCATAATAACTTCATCTTCGACAATTTGTTGTTTTGAATTCATAACAAGAACACGATCACCTGGTCGAAGATCTCGTAAAATTTTTGTTTCACCATTTACCATTGAAACATAACCATCACCCGAAAAACATTTTGGATTACCTAAGAATGAAATAAAACTATCTATTAAAAATAAATAATTCATCTTACGACGAAGTGGACATTCATCAGGTTCTTGAACACCTGGATTAACACAACACCATTGAGCTAAATTTTGTAATTCAGTAAAACCACCTTCGGCTGCCTATATATATATATATACAACAATGTCAAAAATATTTTCAATGAAAACTATGTTCATTTTTTCTTTACCCATCCACCAATACAATTTCTTGTTTTAGTTTTAAAACATTCCATATATCGTTCAGCTAAATTACAAAATAATTTTAAATTTCCTTTTGCTGCTTGTATTATAGCTTGAACATCAAGTTGAGCACATTCAGCTAATTGTACTGGATCTTCTTCAACTGGACATGGTAATTGTCCAAATGATAATTGAGATATTAAAACAATAAATGCACATATGAATACAGACCTTTGATTTAAATTCATTTAATACTTTAAAACGAAAACAAAAACACAATCATACTTACAAATTGATAATAGAAGACATCGTTTTCTTTGATAGTCAATCAAAGAATCAAATACGACAGACGCTCAAATGATGAATTGAAGAATGAATGGATGATCTTCTTTCTTTTTTTCTTTTTCTTCTTCTCCACCTCTTCTCAGTCAATAAATATACAAAAAAAAAACGGTATCAATCTAATATAAAATTATTAGTATCATTACTCAATCCATCTAATGTCTATATTTGAGTATTGACTGTTACAAAAAAAAAAATAATTGAAACACTAGTTCAATATTATCCCTCCTCTTCGAAATCATCTCTTTCAATTATCTATTAATACAAAATCTTCTTTTAAGTTATATCTAGATAATAAAATGACATCATGCTGTTGTGTTTTTCTTTGTATATAATTGCACTCAATTAAATTTCTCTTTTTTTCGACATAGTCCTGCTGACAAGATCATAGATATTTATTATCTTATTATGTTAGAATAATCATCATGCTGACAATAGTGAAAAATTTCGTCCTAAAGCGAAAAAAAAAAAACAATCGTTCGTTAGTCGTCATGATCATCAATAATTGAGAGAAAAAAATAAACAGACATCATCAAAGAATAGACACAGCAAGATACTAATAAACGATTATGACCAAAACTAATATATTTTTTGTTTAATAAATATGAAACATAAAATTAAAGATGCTTACGAGAACTATTATGAAAGATTTTATTGCTTCAACGAATAAAATTATTAACACATATTGTCACATTTTAAATTCAGTTTTCGTTGTCGTTCTTGATAATTTTTAAGATACCAAAAAAAAAGATGACTATATTAATCTTTACAATTTGTTCACTATTCAATGCATTAAATATCTATCGTTTTAATTCAAATATTACAGTATATTTCAATAATTCGACGAAAATTGAGAATCCTTTTTATTGTTAAATATTTGGCTCATCACTCGATGTGTAAAAGCTCCCAGTTACCTTCCTATAAGGTGGCTTCTTTAACATTTGATTTAATCCTGGCATTACATTTCAGTACACACGTGCAGTTTCACTATATGGTTCGCATTGAAACAGTCAGAAATAAAATCAAATATTCAGTACACCAGCTTATATAAAGAAATCTGGATGATTGAAAACAGACCAGTCACACATGTCTTGATGACTTGAAGTAAATTAATCTCTTTGTGAGTTGTTAAATCAGTTTGTTTTAGCCTAAATTTCAAGATCGAACTCCGTCAAATTCACCATTTAGCTCTTCTTGATCATTGGAATGATCGTTTGTGAAAAGATTATAGAAAATAAAGAAAACATGGAATTAAAAAACTTCGGGAACATGTCTTGTAGTGTATCCTATAAATTATCAATTGATAAAAAAATATTTTGTTTTATGTTGCTCCATTTTCGAAAAGACTGAGTTACAAAATCGATGAGTTTGGAAAAACTGTAAAAGTTGGATTTTTTTAAATGAAATGTTGTTTCATCAAGAAACAAGATATATAATAGAAACATATTATGTAATATATAACGATAACAATACCTATTACTGGTATCAATACCATTCGAAAGTTTCACAAAAGCTAAGTAGAAAACGGATGGTGAAACACAGAATGCTCACTACGAATTTTCCAGAAAAACCAAACATTTAGTCTTTCATTGCCAACAAAACTTGGGCATGATATTTGCTCACATCATACAAAATGGTAGAGCAGAATCATTCTCTCCCCCATGGTCACTAGAGTGACTAAACGAGAATATATCTGATCGATCCATTCATACTATCGATATATTGGGGACACTAATATTTTATTCCAATGGTGGTTTCATCAATGACTCTTCTGGAATCGCTTTGTGAAGTAAAGGATTAAGTCATGTCTAGAGATACGCGGAACCAAATTGTGCTAGTTCCGATCCTGATTAGTGTCCTGCACGAGTACGACTTTTCGTAATCGGATTGACACTTTTTTCTATCTGAGCCCGAATAGGACTCGATTAGACTCGGATCGAAGGAAATTGACAACCATCAGATAGTTTCATCATAGTCACAGTACTTTTTCAAACTTTTATTTTATTTGAAAAAGTTTAGTATTTAGTTTCTTCCATAGACAACAACAAAAAAAGAAAGAAGAGATCATTTCAAATTTCATAGCAAAGCAAGTGAATCAAGTGATTCAGAATTCAGTTAGTGTCTTGCTGCTTCTAAAATCCGACCGATTTCACTATGTTTATGTTTGCTTGTTGCTGATGATGCTGGAATGGAATACAGTGTTTGTGTCAAACGTCATAATTATGGATACATATATTGGTGATTTTTCCATCATGACAATACATATTCACTTTTTTTGATAATTCATTTTCTTTTCCATGTTTTCAGTTACTTCATTATATGATTTATCCTCTGTAGATAAGTTTTCATTAAAAAAAAACGAATTCTTTTGATAAAACAATATCAGCTTTCACTTCTGTGACTTGTTCTCAGGTACAATAAATTGCTCAATCATGATCAAACCGGTTTTTACTTCTATGCTTTTATATAAATAGCAGTTCGAAAAAGTAAAAATATTTTGAAAGATTAAGATTTCATTAATTGCCGGTTCAGGCACGGATATGATATGATTCTGGAAATCCGGAATCGACTCGACAAGTTTGTATGCGGACCAATGCTTTGGATCCGATGCCGAATACTCGATCCGGTTGCAGGACATTAATTTCAGTTTGGTCGCAGTCCCAGTCTAGAGAAAAAAATTCTAGAATGTATTCGTATCATATGTATAAAAATCCTTCAATACTCGTTTGTTTGATTTATTTAGTCGACTACCAGCACTATGTTGAACCATCTCTCTTAAATTATGTTCTCATTGATATGCTTTATGAAATAATTCGTTTAAAACAATAGAATATTTAACTACAATCTTTAGTCCCGGTTAGGACAACTATTTTTCTCATAGTTTCGATCCTGATTTCAGCCACTTCTTTTGTCCATGGTCCCGTACATCTCTAGTTGTATATATCACATACTTAAGAAGTTTGAGATAAGTTTACATTCTGTGCCTCAAATTTCTCAGACATGTAACTCTACTTTATCATCACTTATTCAAACCTTATTATTTCCTTAACATCATGTCTACTTGATCAATAAGTACATTGTTCATATAGATTTCGTTGCATAGAAAGAACTGTAAAATATATCTCTTAAAAGATGTTTATCTTAGATTTCGTTCAAAAAAAAATCAAACATGTAGATTTTTTTTTCATTCGACAAAAAAACACTTATATCGTGTTTGTTATCTATAGATGATCTCCTTGTTGAACCCATTCATTGGTCAGTGAGAAGAGAAAGAGAGCATGCAAAATGATCTACATACAATACAGACAAAAGGAAACGAAAAGAACACAGAGAGGTTTACACGATAAGAGACAAGAAAGAAAAAAAAGGAAATCGAGCGCAAAGAAGAAAAGATCTAATCTTGTTTCTTTAACAGACACACATTAAATTTTGTTTAAACCGCACATTCGTGTTCACAATTCAATTGGACACAGAGAAAAATTATTTCAGATAGATAGGAAAAAGACATGAAAGTAAATCTTATTTCATTATATAAGGAAGAAAAAAGAAGTTTATATTTCAAGGAAGCTCTGCGGTATTAAAGGTATACTGTCAAAGTAGCCAAAGACAGACAGAGAGAGAAAAAAAAAATTTCGAGTACTAAAAACGCGCGCGCAAATAACGTATCATTTGAGGAGTCGTCAATCAAATACAGAAGAAGACACACAACATAACATATATATATAGAAGAACAACATATTCAATGAGAAATATATTTAGAGAATGTATGAAGAAAAAGAAAATGCAAACACACACACACACATATACCATATTTCATAGAGAAAATTTACGAAAAATGTAAAGAAAGATTTGTTCATATTGTTGTTTTTATTCTCAAGAGAAATCAATTTGATTTGTTAGTGATGTATTCGTAAAATATAATGATAAACTTGAACGAAGTATTGTTGTACGTGTACGTCTATTATTATTTTGAATACCATAACCAACATTTGATATATCTTCTCTTAAACAAGTAAATTTTTCTGATTGTTTTGAAAATGATCGAAATTGTCGACATTGTTCTTGAAATTTTTCATCTAACATTGTACGATAAAAATTTGGTTTACAGAATTCCTATTTAAAATAAAAATTAAATTAAATTAAACATAAAAAAAAAGAAACAAAAATTTAAATCTTACAGTTGAATATTCAAATAATGCTTTATAACCACCTTCTAATAAATATAATTCTGGATAATGTAGAGCTGGATAATTATTTGCATGAATATTTCGATCTTCTGATCGCATATAACGAAAACTATTTATACATATTTATTTATTAGAATATTCAACTAAAATATAAAACAAAAAAAAAACCTTACAGTGATGGTGCACGTTCTGATGAAAATTCACAATGAAATACAAAAACAATTCGTTTTGTTGAATCTTTTAGTTTAATTGGTGATCGAAAATATTCTTGATGAATTTGTGGTCTTGTAAAGAAATTTTTTGCTATCGATATATGGCCTCCATCGTATTCGTACGGATAGCGACAATCGATTATATGTAATTGTTCTATCTCAGATGAATATTTACCTCGAAGAAGATCGATCATCTAAACATAGAAGAAAATAATACAAAAACTTTAAAATATGTTCTATTGAGAAATTCGATTTTTTTTTTAATAGAAAAATTAGAATTATTTTTTCACAGTATTAGACTTTAATGAGAGATTGTATGGTTCATAGAGGTTTTATGCTCCTATATTAGAGCCCAGTACGGAGTCAACTAAATTTTTTTTTTGGAATAGTAGGTTTTGTTCTCTAATATTTGCTTTACAAACTAATGGATTTTGGAGGTTCCAACAATGTCTTATAGAAGGCATCTGGGCACGAAGCAAAGTCAGAGTCAAATTCAATTCCGACTTTTTTTCATATCCGTAGGCCTTGATAAGACGCCGTCGGAGCCTTCAAATTGTATTAGTTTGTAGAATAAATATTAAATAAGAAAACATACTATTCAACAAGATTGATATGTTAAAACTGAATTTTCGACAAAAAATATAGTTGACTCAGTGCACGACTCCATCCTATATCCTTCTCAAATTTTCCATTTTCTAATTGCTAAAATAGGTCGAAGTATGCTGTCTAACTCTAACACAAACTATTTTTGTGAAATTTGTTTTTGGTATTCTATAGCCAATTGCTTGGCCTATTTTTATTTCTCTTATTTGTAGAGCATGAATGTTGATTTTAATGGTTTACGTTGCACTTATAGAGAAATATATTGTAGAATTTTGATAAAATTTTAAATTTGATCAGATAAAACTCTCTGACCTAAGGATACTTTCCTTCTTTTGTGGCCGTTTTTGGTTCTCGGAGAAGGTATAATCGGCCCATTAGGAAATTTTTGCTACAGACAGAGCACATAAAATGAAACTCGTTCTCGAGGAGAAAGATTTTAAACAAGACTTTCATAGTATTTCATAGGACTGTGTTGAACCCGCTTATGACCTCCTCGTCTAACTCTGTCCAATCGAGTTAAAGATTATTTAGGCTTCTAAAAAAAGCTTCCTTTCTTTTTTTTTTGTGAGAGAAATACGTAAAAGTTCAGATCCTAAATCAAGACATTAGCGTCCAGGACTCTATAAATCCAAATAGGAAGGTTAAAAATGAAAAACGATCGATTTCACTTCGGCAGAATGCTTTTTTAGTATCTGTAATAAAAACTCCAGACGTGTCAGTTGTACACACTTTCGAGAACTACAAATGGCAGAAAAAAGATTGAAGTACTCTCTTAATTATAATATTCGATGTAAGACTTTCAAGAAGCCACTAACTTCATACTTTCTTATTTATTTAACTAGGCAAAGAAACTGTTTGCTTTCTATACGATCAGTAGAAACGATCTGATTATTTTGTATTTAGATCGACGCCTTTCATTTCTATATTCGATATTAATAAGCAGACACTCGAATACTGTTTACTTAATATGAAAATAATCTTATTGTAAATAATATTAAGAAAAAACAAAAAAAGTAACATACTGTTTCAGCACTGATACAAGCAAGATCAGCATGTTTTCGACTCATACATCGTGGTAATAAATAAGATCGACTACGATCACCGATTAAATTATGATTTGAACCTAAGTAAATAAATAATTTTTTTTTTACTATTTTTTGATAGTTCAACTGTTTTACCAAGTTCAACTGAAGCTTTTATTTGTTCTTCATTTATACTTGGTTGTTGTTCTGATAAACTACGAACTAACTAAAAGAAAAATCGAATAAAGAAAAATTAAACAATTAATATTTCTTCTCTTACTCCTCTTCGAATACGAATTGATACAGGTGGTGGAATAAAAAATGCATTTTCTTTATTTTCTTCATCATGTGTAATTTTACTTCGTTTTAATGATCGACCACAGCTGTTCTCATCGGTTTGTAATTGTTCAAATGTTCGTTTCTATTAAAAAAGAAAGAAAAAAAAAAACAATTTTAACAACTTTAAATTAATTTATTTAATAAATTATAAATAATTTTTATACTTTATTTTCATTTGATAATAAATCACTATCATTTAATGCCAATACAGGCATATCATCTTCATGACTACTATCTGATAATATTAACGGTAATGGTTGTCCACGTTGATATCGATTATTAATACTATTATCATTATTTGTACTATCACGTACAGGTGTTACCGTTGAAAGTGTTTTATCAAATAATTTAACTAAATGATCTGAATGTGAATCCTACATACAAAATAAATTTAGAAAAAAAACAAAACAAATAAAAAATTTCACAAACTGATGATGATAATTGAAATCTTGTTTTCATTGAATGACATGATGTAATCGGTTGTTGTACTCTTTTACAAATTAAATAAAAGATTTTTATTTTATAAATTGAATCAATTTAGAAAAATTTGATTTTACTCCATAGTTCGCATTTTTTTATTACGTTGCATAAGAATAAGTGAATTATTAATTGAGTTTGATTTTTCTTTACATAATTGACGTTTTAATGTTGTTGTTGAACGTGGTAACATATCAAATCCAAAATGTTCAAGTTTTGATTGACGAGTTAATATAACATGATTATTTTCAACTAAAGATCTACAATAATGAAAAAAATATAATCATTTCATTAGTCATTGGCGCGTATTTAAAAAATTCTTACAATGTTGGTCGTGTTTCAACAATATCGGTTATTGGAATAACTTGAAAAATAAATAAATAAATATTTATTATTGAAAGAAAAAAAAAATTTTTTTTACTTGTTGAATTATTATTATTATCAATAATTGATATTGATTTTGATGTTTTCAATGACATTAATAGTGGACTATCATCATCTTCACTTGAAGAAAATAGTTTACGACGTGGTGTTCGTCTAGAAAACAAAAGAAAGCTATTCATGTGTTTATCTGTAGGGATATCTCGAGATCTTTGTAATAAAGGTTGAACTCCTCTTCACCTCCTCGCCAAATCTTGATGACCTCGGGACACTCCTGTTTATCTGAATTAAGAAAAATAAAGATTTTATATTTTATGTATACCTTGATAAATATAAAGGACTTGTATTGATGGTAATGGTGTTCATTTCATTCGAATGTTATAGTGAAGTAAAGGCAACTGTATGCCGTCTTCTTCGTATATAGATATACGGTATGGAAAAGAGAATGGAAAGAGGGAGTGAACGAATCCTTTTTTTTTTTGTTTTCCTTTTTCTTTCTCGCCAACGGTTATTCTATAACGTTTCGTTTTCCTTCTCTCCCTCTTTCTCCGATTCCAATTAATCGAATTTTTTTTCCTCTTTCTCGTTTCACCGATGCATGGAAAGAGAACGAAAACCAATGACCGACTGTTTTCTCTTTTTCTTGCTTGTGAACAATCGAAAGAGATTGTTGTATTCAAATCCAACGGTCAAACAAGCTGTGAATCAGCTTGGTAAAAAAAAAAATACATATATACAAAAAAAAAAATTAGATTCGGAGCTTACTTGTCAAAATTTGAATTGATCGATGTGTTTGGTGATGAAGATAACTGTTTATATGTGTGTCGGATATGATATTGAGCCATTTTTTTATGGATCTTTATCTAGAGAAAGAAAAAATTTTTCAATTTTTAACTTGTTAATTCCCAAAAATGTTGACTTTCGAATAAATGAGCGTGTCGAAGCTAATGTCAACAACAAGTTTACTCTTTTTTTTTTTTCGTGAACGAACTAATTCTGGCAAATACAAACATTTAACGCCTATTCGTGACGCTCATCTCGTTCCGCCCTGATAGTCATTAAATATACAAAATCTTTTTTTTTTATAAGTAGGTAAAGAAAGAAAGATTTTTGAAATGAAAAAACAAAACAAACTAAAATATTGACTTTTTTGTTTATTTATATTGATAGTGTTATCTTAATTTCTTCAATGTATCTCATTGTCGGACATAGTTAACGAACACGAAGAAAAAAAAAAATTTTTGTTTTTTTTTTTTCTATAAATTTAATTCTTCATGAATATATTTGAATTTAAATAGACAAAAGAATATATTAATTATAACTCGAACTTAACACTTACATAATTGTTCTTAAATTAGAAATACAATTTTTCATATACAAAATAAATGGATGAAGAATGTGTTCGATCGATCGATCTATATATATATATATAAATGACGAAGTTAGAAAAGAAGATGAAAGAAATAGATCATTTCACCACCCTGGCTACTACCACCTACCTTAAGATATTATCTTTTGTCGTATGTATGAAAAGAATGAGAAGGAAAAAAGAAAAAGCTGTGATGACTAGAAAAATGATGACAACATGTTCAGCGGTTTAGTTTTTTCTTTTGTAAGTTGAGTGTTGAAAATAATCGTATTGAATATATTTTAAAAATAGAAAAACATTTTGTCTTTAGCTTTTTCATTTGTTTTTATGCTTTTTTGTTTTTTTCTTTGATCTATATTCTAACAATTAAGATATATATGCATTTTATCAGCAGTTTTTATCGTAATAAATTTAAAAGTTTTGTGACCATCAAATAGAATAAACTTAACTTAAAGATAATAATAATACGAAAAAGAAAAATTCTCTTATTTCTTTTCAGAAACATAATAGTTTTAATTATGATCATAAAAATTCTTCATTAAGCAAATATTTCTACCATTAGATGAAACTTAATTGTAACTTTTTAATAAAAATATTTTCTGTAAAAATACGAAATAGGACAATTTTCTTCGTTCTGTTTTGCAGAATGCATGACACAGACAGAGCATCAAAAAGTTCGTCCTGACAAGACAAAGGACTTCTCTGCGTCCGACTTACACGACGATCTTTTCATTGCATTTTTGACAAAGATAAAAACTTATCTGTATATGAAGTATGATGTTAAATATCGTAGATGTATTATTTATACAAAAAACATTTCCAATAATGATCATGTTAATAAACCTTATCACATGGTTTCCAACAGAAATGAAATTCAAACAATGAAAAAAATATTCGACATTCAGAAAGTGAACAAAACAATAATAAAACAAACATAAAGATACAGGATTCAAAATGTAATCAATTTAAATAGATGAACAACGAGAAAAGATAAGTTTTCTTATTATTACTTTTCTTTTTTAAATTTCTCATATGAACGAATAAATAACATGCTATCAATTTGATTCAGTTAACGTGTTCGTCTTTGAATAAATATCAATCTAATTGAGCGAAATAATCTCAAAACACTGTTGTATTAATGACAGACTTTTCTCGTTTACAAACTAATATAATGTATTTTTTTCAAACTAGTATTAAAGTGTTGCTAGAAGGGTCATATCAATGGAGAAAATGTATTATTCTAGTTAAAACTGCTTACTGGTACGTCATGGTTATGATGATGAAATTTAAAAATTTTAATGTTAACTTATTGCTTTTTACAATTTAAGAATATTGTTCATCGGAAACTTTGTCCATATCAAAACATCAATTAGATTAATTTATATGAAAAAAAAATGCCGAACTTTTGAGGGTAATATTATCGAGATTGATTTTTTTCCAAAAAAATCCATGTTGTATGCAATACCTATAAAAAAAGCACCTATATTTTGGAAAAATCATATCTCAGTAATCTTCCGAAAAAATTTTCTTACGAGCTATTTTAATTGAACTCTTCACATGAACAAAGTTTCAGATCGAAATTCAAAAGTAAGATTTCACTGGAGAATCAGGATCCTATAGGAAAATTTCAGTAACATCTTCATATGTCAGCTAAATCGCAACAGAGGATCATATTCTCTTAGGTTTTTTTTCGATTCTACAGATCTCCAACTTACGAACAAAATATGAAGATGAATGTAAGGGTTTACTTCGAGTGGTTCCCCCGTCAAAGCTTAAGATAGTTCGGTTATCTGAGCTATTGTTCGTGAGATGTCGAACTTTTACTAGATTTTTTAATCGAAACTGTGGTCCTCCTCAGGTCACTATGAAAATCAAGTTTCGAGCTTCGACTTGAAACTTATTACAAATAAAACTCTTAACGATACTAGATCACAGTGAAAATTTCACCGATTTTAATACTTTGCATCTAAAGATATCAGTATATGAAGAATTAGAAAATTTTCATTATTCATATCTCAATGTAGGACAAGAAAAGATCAGTGAAACTTTCACAATGAACGAATATCATTGACAGCTTTATTTATGCAAAATTTCAAGTTGAAACTCAAAATTTAGTTTTCATGGTGATCTGAGGAGGACTACAGGTTTCAGTTAAAAAGTCCAGTAAAATTTCGATATGTCAAGAACAAAGGCACAGACAAGCGAACCATCTTAAACTTTTATACTACTCACTATAGTCTATCATTTGAGTACAATTTCGATCAAAAAATGATTAAACACTTGGATAGGTTCTCTCGTAAGTCATTTGTAATGTGTAAATAAAAAGAATAATATATCTTTAGAATAGATCTTTGTTTTACAATCGAATACACTACTGTGATTTCTAGATTATTTTTCAATTTTACATTGAAAATCTTCATGTTTCATTTTAACAATTTTAATATAATGATCATCAAATTTATTACTATATCGAATGTAGTATAAGTTTTGCGACATTCTTTTGTTTCGCATATAATGTTCTACTTGAATCACAAGACCAAATCTTTATAGCTATTTTCGAAATTTTAATAGACTCCTAACATTGAATACGTGTGTCATCGTTTTATTTCCCACAAGGAAAGATCGAAAAAAGCCCAATTTGTGATTGACAACTAAGGTCATTTTTAATTAAATCAATGTTAGATTAAATCGGCTGTCGAAAGCACTGTAAAAGTCAATATGTTTATCACTCCGTCGAGGAAATTCAATCTAGTGATTTATGCATCGAGCTCACTGTTTTTAGACGATGTATTTGAGTTGAGAATGAGTAATAATCATCATGATTTGAAGGTTACATTAGGTTTCTAATTGATTTCAAACATTATAGTCAAAATGAATGAACAATATTTATCAAAATCAAAATTCAACCATATTTGACTTTCTCTTATTCTCCCATGCAGAAAATCAAACGATGATACACGTGTTCATTGTTAGAATTTCTTAATAAATATAATTTTTGTTTTGATGACTATTTTAGACACATAGACCGAATGATTGTATATGTTCTTTTTTCGTAACACAAATAAAATTAGACGTATCTTCTTTTTGACTAGGTAAGAAAAAAGAAGAACAAAAAAAAGTCCATAATCACATGATTGGTAAAGGCATGCATTGTAAAGCTGTAGGTTGTGTTATCAAATATTGACCAGGAGTCGCAATTACACATGATGATTTATTTGAACCAAATGTAATTAAAGGTGCAGTTGCATCTGATATTGGACAAATTGGTATACGACTGCAAATCATTGATGATTGCTGAACACCTGTAGATGCTAATGGTGCAATACTTAATCTACAACTTGGAGCACGTTGTATTGCTACTTGTGGTTGTTGAACCAAAGCTACTGGTCGAGAACCAATACCAGAACCAACACCACTTGCGCGTAATTGGTCAGTGAATATATCAGAAACTTCATTATCAATAAAACGATCTTGATTTATAGGATCTCCTTTTAATACATCTTTAAATGCACCAACAAATTCTGGAAAATCGATAAAACCATCATGATTTTGATCAATTGAACGAAATACATTTTCAATAGCACGATCAATATGTTCATTATTAGATTCAATAAGAACATCTCGTAATAATTGACGAATAATATGACGATCCATTTTAACTGTACCACCACGTGTTAAATTCATATATTCTCGATGAAGAAGTGCTACATCAGTTGGACTTAGTCCAGCAATATTAGCAATAGCTGCAAAATCAGTATCTCGATAGCCTGTACCGCCTGCCATTTGCCGTTGCATTCCATACGGAGAGTATCCACCAAAATTTTGAGGAGGAGGACTTGGAGGTCTATATGGAGGAGTACCATACGGCATTGGAGTTCCACCTGGATATCCATAACCACCATAGGGCATTGGAGCTCCACCTGAATATCCATAACCACCATAAGGCATTGGTGCTCCACCACGAAGAGCTTGAAGTTGATTATTTAAGCTTGCAATGGTTTGATTAGCTTGCATAAGTTGTTGTTGTTGACTCATAGGAGATGCACCTCCCATACCGGTATTCATTGGTGCAAGAGATCGACTGCCACCTGCTCCATAAGGTGGAATGGGTGTCTTATTTTTTGTCTTAGATCGACCTCCACCCATAACTTTTAGTTTCTAAAGTAATCCTATTTAATTAAAACTTATGTAGAATAGTTAATATCAGTTTGTATTCTTCAATATTGATGATGAAACATCAGACATATCAATCCTTGATGTAAAGTGAAAACGAAAAAAAAATGTTCCGCTTGGAAGAATTTGTCTAGATAGCAAAAAAGAAAATGTTCGTCCTTGCGTCAAGGCTTTATTAAACTATGTCTGTTTGTCATTAGAAACAAAAAACAATCGTCTCTCTTTCTCTGTCAATTTGATTAATATCTATTGAATATTTGTAGTTTATTTTACAATTAATTTTGAAAATATGTCTTATTTCTTTTGACTTTTTTCTTGATTTTATTCGAACTTTGTTTTGACAAAAAATCGAATAGCGAGAAAAGAAAATGTTGCGAAGAACAAGGAAAAGAAAAGAGTAAAGAAAGGGTCTCAAAAAGAAGAAAACAACAAAAAAAACAAACAAGAAAACGTTATGAGCGAGTGTACATGCATGCGTGTGTGTGTGTATGCGTCTTGTCGAACTAGTTGTTCAGATAATTAAACCATAGAAAACGAAAAAAAAAAAATGTATGTATGTGCTAAACACAAGAGAAAAAGAAATTCAAGATCAGCAACAACAACAGTAATAATAATAATAATCACGTCAAAAAAATATGATGTGAGACGCGAACGCAACAAGGAGAAAAAAAGATTATCATATACACATATAAACACAAGACCTTGTTTTATATTGAACAAGAAACAAAAGAAAAGAAACTATTGTTCGTATTTGTGTATATGTATGATAGAAATACTGTGTTTGTTTGAAGAAAAAAGTAAATGAATAAAAATCATCATCCAAAAACCGGTAAATAACAAACAACAATAACAAATAACGTTCAAGATCTTTTTTTTTTTGAATGACTCCCGAAAGCAAAAAAAAAAGAAAAAAACACAAAAGTAATGAACACACGCAAAAAAAAGCAACGTCAAAAATATCTGAGGTGTTGATGCTCAAAAAAAAATAATAATAATCAGGAATACAAGTATTTTTCGTTTTTGAAATAATAGTTCTGCATCACATAGGAAAGAAAAACCAAATGATGATGATGATGATGATGATGACGACAAAAAGAAAGAGAAAAAAAGAATGATTATTTAGCAAACAAACCACACACACGCACACACATATGCACTAGCATTCGTATCTATATAATGGTATAAGTAATGATAATGAAGGACTACGAAACAAAAAAAGCAGAATAAGGGAAAACGAAGAAGAAAAAAGAAACTGTACAGTATATATGTGGGCTCTTTCATCAACGACTGTAATTGGATGGAGGTGCCGAATCGGACGAGAAATGGTCATAACCTGTTGGTGCTGGATATGCAAATGCATTTGGTGGACCACTCGATGAATCAGTTCCATAATTATATTGATTTGGTGGTGGTCCAGCTGATGGTGGACCTTGTGAACCTTGTGGTTGACTAAAACTCCAACCGGCATAAGAATATTGAGCCGTATTAGAATTAGCTCCACCAAATGGCGTTTGAGTTTGCGGTGGACCTACAGCTGCATTTGCTGGATTACCTGATGGACCAGCTGATGCTGTTCGTCCTTGTCCATAAGAATTACCTTGTGGAGGAGGAGCAACCTGCCAAGTAGCATTTGATCCAGATGCTGATGAAGGACCATAAGAACTATATGAACGAGGATCTGCTAAATAATGAAAAATTATTTTAGATTAAAAATCCATTGATTGAAACTTATTTGATGGATAATTGAAAAGTTTTTAGACAAGATATTTGTTCACTTTTTATCTCCTTTGAAAATATTTCCGACTAATCAAAAGGTATGATTCTGTAATGTTTTCAAATATGAGCTTATGAGGAAATCGTTCAAAGTAATACCTTCTCGCGTTTGAGATGAGACTCCAATCATTGCATTGAGACTGTTGAATGTAGAAGAAATCCAGAAAGTTTCTTTCCCATGCGTTGCTCTTGTGAAGTTATGGCCACTACATTGGATTTTTTACCTTTGGGTACAGTATTTATAGAAAAAAAAACGGACAAACGAGTTTTGGTCTAAAACTTTGTTCAAGAACAGCTCTTGAAGTCATTTGAATCTCCTCAAAATTTCGAGCAAAAAGACTGATCTTGTCTAAGCATAGGAAATCCACAAAAACCATGACATGCTACTAGAAGGACGGAAAATCGAGAGTTTTTTTTTGTAGATTTGGTGTCTCGAGAAGAGACGAGTCTTTTCGGCTGAAAATTTTAGGCCAAAATTCATTTGTCCGATTTTTTTTTATAAATATCGTGTCAAAGGTAAAAAATTTAGTGTAACGATCATAACTCCGAAAGCGCAGTGCATAGAGAAGAATCCTTCTAGTTTTCTTGTAGTCTCAACAGGTCTTAATTCATCGGAAATACTTTCAAGCAAGTTTAAGGCGAACAAATATCTTGTCTAAAAACTTTTCGATTTCTCATTATATTACCATAGTTTGTATTTGGCCATTGAGCTGGACTCATTGGTGACCAAGGTTGAGCAAGACCTTGACTATTTGATGGTAATTGTTGTCGATTTGTTTGAGAGCGATTTTGTCCTTGTTGATTAGCTTGTTGATGTTGTTGAGCTGATGAAATTCCAAGTGATGATGAACTAAATTAAAAAAATTAATTTTTTCTATTTAACAAAAAAAAGAAAATTCTAATTTACTTATAAAATGGATAGTGTTGTTGTTGAGCAGCAAGTGCTGCTTGTTGATATTGTAATTGTTGATGAGATGGTGGTTGTTGTGAACGTTGTTCTAATAGGGAAAAAAAAGAATTTAATTCTCTTTTTTATGTCTTTCTTTTCTTTTTATTTACGTTGTTGATATTGAAATGGATTTTGACTTAATCCAGGCATATTATAATGTGCTAATGGTGCATGCATAGGATTATTTGCATTATTATTCTGTTGATTATTTTCTGTAGTTTTTGGATTAGCTCGTTTACAATCAATGGATTTTCCCGCTAATGTATGACGTGGTTGTTGAAGAACTTCTTCGGCACTTTGTTCATTTTCAAAAAGAATAAAACAAAATGGACGTCGTTTTTGTTTGATTTTATCCATTGGTGCTTCAATTTGAGCGATCTAAAATCGAAATAAAAAAAAAGAAAAATTAAATCAAAAATAATTCTTAACAAACTTTTCCAAATTTTGAAAAATATTCTAGTAATTCAGCATCAGTTACTTCAGTATCTAAACCACCAACGAAGACTTTACGTGCAAGTGCTTGATCACGACGATGTGCCGATTTTGTATCAACACGTTTACCCTGAATTACATGTAAATCTTGGGAATAAACCTGTCAAATAATAAAAATAAGAAACAAAAATCGATAATTAAAAAATGATGTTTCTTTTTTCTTACTTTATCTGTTGAATCACGATCTTCAAAAAGAACAAAACCAAAACCTTTTGAACGACCTGATTTATCAAATTTAACAGTGGCACTTTCGACATTGCCAAATTTAGCAAAATATTCACAAAGATGTTCTAAAATATAAATATTAAAATAAATTCAAATAATAAAAAAAAAATTTCTTTACCCATTTTTGTATCTGGACTAAGACCACCAACAAATACTTTTCGTGTACTAAAATTTAAGAATACAAAACAATATATAAATCAATGCCGAAGCCAAGGAAACTCAGTCCTCTGATGAGATTTTGGAAAGATGTACTAGTCTTTACAATGAAACGTTTTAACTCTTATTTTTTGCAGCTCCTATGTATATTCAAAGAAAAGATTCTACAATAAAAATAAGGTCATGAGTCATGACCTCATATTTACTATATTGTCTTTGAAAATAAAAACATGTCTTTCAAAAATCTCGTCAAGACCCATGTAGCCGGTTGTTGCATTATCATGTAATTATTTTCCATTATAATGAAAAATAACACATTATAATGGCAATAATTACATGATAATGCAACAATCGGCTACATGGGGGGTGCTTAAAATTCTTAATACATTCTGTCGATTTTTTACAACTTTCTGGTAACTTTGGACAGCAACTAGATTTTACAACACTATATGCCTTTCTCTGGCAGAAAGTTAAATAAAAATGAACAGATAATGTCTTGTGAAGTGAATAGGATAGAGAAGGAACGATCTGGTCATAGTGGATTTCATTCTTCTTCCTCTGGTCATCACCTCTAGCACTACGAGAATGAGAGCATTTTCTGTCGAATTTTTAAGTCTTCATATCTCTAAAAAATATCGACAACTCTGGTACGGCCAAAATCTTGGTTCCACCACTGATATATATAGAATTCAATCAATCTTTTATTTACTTGACTGAATCATTCGTTGCATTATCAACGCCAGTATTATTTTGTCGACGTTGTTGTTGTTGCATTGATGGCCCACTATTATAATTATTATTATTATTATTTCCATTATATGAACCATATCTATTCTGTTGTTGTGGTGGTAACATTGGTCTCATAGGTCCACCTGCTGCATAACCATTGCTACTCATACCACCATTACTTAAATATTTTGCTGGTGGACCTGTATATATTGTTCCTGTAATAGGTGATGCCATTGGTTGTTGTTTCATAGCAAACATTTGCATTGAATTTTCAAATGTATGTCCCATATTATCAGAATTATTACGTACAGGTTGAAAAGATGCACTATTATTATTAGCTGTATTATTGTTGTTTGAATTTGTATTATTGTTATTAGTTAAATTGTTTGATGTTGTTGAAGATGTACCAGAATTTGTTGTCGATGTTTGATCGAGTACGTTACCAGACGACATTTCGAAATATGTTTACACAAAAACAAACAAATAGGCAAGACTACACAGACACGTGAATAGGAAGATAGATATTAAATAGAAAATAGAGAAATCCAATAAAGATAGATAGAAAAAAAAATGAACAAGGAAACGAAAAAAAACAGGATTTCTGAACACACGAAACACACAAGAAAAAAAAAGAGAAAAAAAAAGAAGA